ATATATATATATATATATATAATTATTATTATCATTATTGAATATAATATACAAAATTTATGTTTTGAAGATTCTAATGGATAATCGATATTAAAATATATTTTACGATATTTATGCGTTTTGGAAATACATTTTTTCCTTTTAATATTTGGAAACTTGAAGTAAAATCTTACGTCACTATATTTTTTAATAAACATCATTCCAAAAACAGTTTAGTTTAAAATATCAAGAATTTCAGCTATATTTATATTTGGACGATAAGCTTTTTAACGCAATATATTATACTGCTTTGAATATAAATAAAAACAGCTTATCCTTTTTTAAAATCTTGTTAATGGAATGACTTCGATTACGTCAGAGAATATCTGTTTCGTTGTAGTTTACACCAGTGAATTGGTTAAATTAAATTGGGCTTTAATAGACGGAGTTTTCATTTACTGAGGTACGATTAAATTACACCTACAACGTTTCTAACACTCACAGAAGTATACAAAATCATGGAAGTCGTACAAACCATGTTAAAAGTCACTTCAATGTCTCTATCGTCTCTCACTCAGCCAAGCCTGTTTTCAGCAGATAAAGGTCTAAATGATAGAATAATTGGAGTTTCTTGATTTTATATGTCTCCTTACCGCCTGACCTACATATACAATTTAGAGGAGTCCAACCAGTCTTATGTCGTCGATGGTGTCGAAGTAAGTAAAAGGGGGAGTTCTAGGGGTAAAAAGAGCGACGGTGCCTACATCCATTGCTCACACGATCGAGAGCTACGTTCTAGGTTTCAAACCAGTTAAATCGGTGAAGAAAGAAAAGGAGATATAACAGAAAAGTGAAGTTCGAAGAATAAACAAAACATTCAAAGATTGAAGTATCATTTAACTGTATCTTTATAACATCTAACATTAGTATCTATGTGTCAAGATAATGATGACTTTTTTGTTTAAATAATTTGTTTTACCTAGATAAAAATAATCTAATATATTACTAAAACTGGAGTAGTTTGGCCTTTTAAAGGGTCAAGGCGATTTTTTTTCTTTGAAAAACTCTTTTATAGAAATTAATGAGACGGACCCTTTATGTACACCAAATCCCAGCATGTTCCAATTAGGTTACCTTTCCGAAAACCAGTCTCAGCCGGCTGCTACTGCCCTGATATTAACTTCTTGGAAGAAACGTACCTGTTTCGGCAGAAAAGCCGAACTATGCAAATCACAGATTCTGCTTACATACTATAATTTAAATCACTTATGGATGTGTTTATATGTTAACATTTAAATCAATGATATTATTTTGATATCACTAAGTTTTCGATTGGTGTGTATATAAATGACTCTTTGTCAGGCTTCTGTGGGTATTTAATGAGCAGATCAAATAAGTATGCATTTGCGATCAGCTCTTGACTTGTGAAAGTCTATCGAAACTTTGTAACGTTTGCTGAACGAAGAATATTCTGAATTAATCCATAATATGCATGACTCTAAATTATCATTACTTATGTTATTAATAGTCACTGCATTGTAAATAAAAAGCATAATTCGTAAAGCAGTCTGAAGAGTATTTACGTTTTAGAACAAAAAACAACAAGACTCATTTAGACAAATATAATATTACTCCATTTCAGTTTCATTGTTACCATACTATTTTAAAACAGTCAGTGCGTGTATTCTGCATATTATTATTAATATTGGCCCGGCATGGCCAGGTGCTTAAGGAGCTTGACTCGCAATCTGCAGGTCGCGGGTTCGAAATTCCCGTCCCACCAAACATGTTCGCCCTTTCAGCCGTGGGGGTGTTATAATGTGATGGTAAGTCCCACTATTCGTTGGTAAAAGAGTAGCTCAAGAGTTAGCGGTGGGTGGGGATGACTAGCTCCCTTCCCTCTAGTCTTTCCTTGCTAAATTAGGGACGGCTAGCGCAGATAGCCCTCGTGTAGCCTTGCGCGAAATTCAAAACAAACAATTATTATTATTATTTTAATTTTGATACTTTTTATAAATTTGTTCGGAATTAAAGTTTCACCATATACTATAACTACCTCGGAAACTATTAACTAACAAACACATTTGTACCTCTAGCTTCATTCTTTGTTGGTCAACGTAATATGTATTTTTATTTCGTAAAGAACTGCGTGCAAGCAATCTCAGGTAAATATACTCAAAAATATAAAAAGTAATGTAACAATTTTTGTGGTTATTAACATGTTACAATGTCAATCATAAGAATAAAACAAATAAACTCCCGAACGTTGTTTTGATTAAGACCATGAAGTAGTAAATTTTGCTTTTTATTATAATATAATATTATCGTGTCTTGTTTGTAGTATGAAGTTTTACTGTTAGGATTAATACACTTTCTATGTATATTTTTCTACTAACTTATAATTTTAAAATTTGAAAAGTGCCTTCATGTTTTTTCTAAAAGAGTTGCCAAGGTAGAGGCGCATGGTGACTGTGGAGTTAAACGAAAGCCTATGTTTCGCAAAATCAAAACATATAAAAAAAGGAAGACAATCCCAACTAACTTATCACGTGTAGTCTGAATGAAAAAAAAAAAAAAATTGGTGTCATTTTTGATGTTTCTTATTGCATTTGAAACAAAAAGGCAATGAATGGCATTTATTTCTTCCTTCATAACAGCAAAATGTTGTTCTAATTAACGGATCGTTTCGCTTCCTAGTTTTTCTGTGACAGTGAAGAAGAAGGATTTGCTATTTATTTTTTAAAGCCACATGACAGTATTTTTTGTATAATTTTTCACAGCAGTTATTCAACTTCAACTGTTTCACAAGTTCCAATTAAAAACTAAAGATATTTTTATGAACTTTTATGAAACATTGGATGCTGAATATAAAATATAATTCACATTAATAGTTCAACTACAGTTGACAGTTTTACAGAAAGTGATCTAGATAAAACTGGTTATGTAGTTAGTGGCTGGAAATACCAGTTCACCTTGTTCAGGATGGTCTGAAGTTTTAAGTATTTAGGTTTGCATTTGAACAGTTAATGTTTATACGTTCGTCAAACACCTCACTGTATTTTGTCTTCAACCAATTTCAAAATAATTAATTATTCCAACGTAAGAATAACAGATTTGACTGACAAGAACATTTTGTCAAAATCTAAGAAATTAATAAATTTAATTGGAAACTTTTAATTCATTATTTGTGCATTCAAATAATAGTTTCATCCAAGTGATTCCAACCCATAACTGATTGCAAGTCTTTTAAAGATTCAAATAAATAATCAACGATGACTAAGTTATTTATCTATAAATTTTGTGTCCTTGCGAAGAATAATCTTAGTTTAATGTATCAGCCTTGTATAGTAAGAGCACGTGTATTTGTGTATTTTTCTTCTAGCAAAGCTACATCGGGCTATCTGCTGTTTCTACCGAGGGAAATTGAACCGCTGATTTTAGCGTTGTAAATCCGTAGACTTACCGCTGTCCCACTGGAGGATTTTATAGAAAGAAGGTATTATACCGACCTTGTATATACCTGCGTGAACGATGCAATATATTAAATATATATATTTCTTGTTAGTGAGTAGGTAATAAATTTAATGTCACACTACAATCAGAGGCGTCGCTAAGCAGTGGCACATGGGGCTCATGCTTCGATTCTATTTGACAGTGCCCAAATCCCTAGTCGGTGTCTTGAAAAATCAGAATAGAAAACCATGATCGATATCATACTGAAACGCCGAAAATCTCCGCACCTACGGGCCCGAGCTCCGAATATTTTAAGCACATAGCGAAGCCTCTGACTACATTCTGTATGAAAACTCCAATTATTTTATGTAAACCCTATGTCCGTTTATGTTCAGGTGTATCAAAGCATTTTACTTTTACTATAATGGCATCACTGTACGCTAATAAATATTTTTTAAATTTATTTGTTTTTCTACGAACAACGAAAATTTCTTGCTTCACACATTTCATTTCACGAAATAGCCTAATCATTTATCGTTTACGAACTAGACAGTAAAATAAAATTGCCTTGCAAAAATAAAATTATATTTTTTTCTATATAACTTAAACCTAGAAAGTTAAGTGATTAAGAATTACTTGTATATTTTCTATGGCCATACTATTTATAAATTTTATTAGTTCGTATAACTCGTATCGAATGTTTCGACTTTTGCTAAAAACAACAAACTATAGGACTGTTATTATATTCCCGTCCCCCTGTGGGACAGCGACAAGTCTTCGGATTTACAATGCTAAAATCAGGGGTTCGATTCCTCTCGGTGGACACAGCAGATGGCCCGATGTGGCTTTGCTATAAGAAAACTCACACTATTCTCCTACCTGATGCAAATATTTAACTTTATTTTATTGTTATCAACGTCGATATTAGCGGGAACGAGTAGTATGTTCTGACTTTTCAGTTTTAATACTATTATTTTTGCATATATCTTGTAGTGGTACAATCCACCCATGATTATATTACATGTGGCTAGAAGTTGCTCTTCAACATTCTGCGCCCAAGGAAATCTAGGTCAACGTTTAAGTTGGTGATTGGCTGTTCACAACTAAAGTAGGACTCCGCGTGCATGTTTTTAACATGAGAGCAAAGAAGAAGAAAGGGAAAGCCTAAAAATTTCAGGAAGTTAAAGTGCACGACGCAATTTTGTAATGCCCTTTATTTTATCGTTACAAACGCGAATTTCGATCAACGCAGATGTAAGGCCATCAGAACTAATTTTAAATGTCAATATACAAGGATAAGATGTAATCCATGTAATGTCATGATGTGTTTTTCATTACTGTTCGTAGAGAGTAGTTAAATTGACATTATGCTTCAAAAACTAGCCTTCAACTTTCATACACGATGCTTAGCTTTATACATAGGAATATCCAGGTTTTTTACATTCAAAATAATTACTTTACTTACAAAGAACAAAGTTAGGTCAAAATAGTAAGGAAATGTTTCGATTCATAACATAAGAATGAACTCCCCAACACATGTACTTTGCTATTAGCCCTCAAATTCCCAACTTGTTGTTATATCGTTCACTACAGGTAGAGACAACATATTGAAGCATTCATATTGAGTAAACTTATGTTTCAACATGTTACAAAACTTAAAGAACTAACCTAAACAACTGCGTTAAATAATTCATTTGCAATGTGGGACCTTAACAGTGATTAGTGGCTCTAACTGCAGGATTCAAAGGCCATCTCATGATACACAGTTTCAATTCAACTATCAAGCTCCGCAATTATCCCCAATTACTTCTATAACTACTCTACAGGAGGTCCATACCCGGAAAAAACAACAACAAAAACCCGTTACGACACCTGCCCATGGCACCTAAATACATGTGCCACGTTTGGTCCCGCTAGCTTGCGAGTGCGGTTGTGAACACTGTTTCAAATATGGCGCCCCTGGTATCCCAAGATTAGCCAGGAACACAGACTCCTTTGCTAGATTCGGGGTCAGTAACCCTAAAAATCTACCCCTAACCTCTCATCATACCTGTGTGACCTTTTTGGCGTGTTTTATCCTCCCTAGTAGAGGGATTACGTCATATATAGATAAGTACACCCCGGGACAATCC